CAGTGCTACTTGATGTGTGGTCCATGGACCAGCACCTGTGCTTAGACTCTGCTTCCACCCTATGATGAGATAACCACTGAAAGTGAGATCAACCATTTAAACTATCAGAGAATTTTGACAATGCTGAGACCTTTTTACTGCATTTTATAAAAATATAGGGCCACAATAGATTGGAAATTTTACAAAGAAAATTATCCTTTACCATAAATACCTTGATAAACACTTCCATACAACTCCATGAGACCATCGTGGCAGAGAAGAGTTATTAAGTTGGGGAAAGGATAAAATGAAAATATGGAGATAAGTGTGAGCAAGATCATATAGAAATCTATGGATATGCGAATATTTCAAATATAATGATTAGTATTTAAGCAAATTGAATTTCTAATTAAAATATAGTGAGCATAAAAGAAAGCATAATTAAATGTTTATGTATATTTCATTTGTTGCTGAATTGATAGACTTATGAAATACCAATCACTCTGCACCCTGAAAAACATGGATACCAATCCATGACAACTTCCCTATATTGTAAATAAAAATGTCTAAGTCAGGTGTCAAGGTTCAGTCTTTAAAATCTAAGTTAATTATGTCACAAAAATATTCTCTGATCCCACTATGAAATTAAATATTATACCATTTTCCGTTTCAGAATTAGGTAGATGATCATGATGGTCTTAGCTTTCTCTATTCTTCTTTCTTTGCACCTTTTCAGCTAATATTTCATCTTTGCCAGCCATGGAACAAAACAATCGTACCAAAGTGACTGAATTCATTCTCCTGGGATTTGCTGGTCAACACAAGTCTTGGCATGTCCTCTTCATAGTATTTCTAGTGATCTACGTGCTCACCCTAGTGGGAAACATTGGCATGCTTCTGCTCATCAAGATTGAGTCTTCCCTTCACACCCCCATGTACTTTTTCCTCCAAAACTTGGCTTTAGTTGATCTCTGTTATGCATCTGCTATCACTCCCAAGATGTTACAGAATTTGATGAGCAAAATAGATTCCATCTCATTCGTAGGATGTATAGTGCAGCTACTTGCCTATGGTATTTTGTAACAAGTGACTGCTTCATCCTGGCTGCTATGGCAGTGGACCATTATGTGGCCATCTGTAACCCACTCCACTATGCAACAGTCATGTCCCAGAGATTCTGCATTCAACTCTTGGTTGGCTCATACTTCATGGGTTTCCTAAATGCTTCTGTAAACACAAGTTTTACTTTCTCACTGAACTTTTGCAAATCCAATAAAATTAACCACTTCTTCTGTGATATACCCCCAATTCTTGCCTTCTCCTGCTCCAGTGTTTCCTTCAATGCCATTTTACTAGCAGCCTTTGTGGGGTTTAACTTGACGTTCACTGTGCTGGTCATCATCTTTTCCTACATATTTATCCTGGCTGCCATTCTGAAGATCTCTTCTGCTGCAGGGAAGAAAAAAGCCTTCTCCATGTGTGCCTCCCATCTGACAGTGGTCACCATTTTCTATGGGACACTCTCTTACATTTATCTGCATCATAGTACCATAGAGTCTCAAGAGCAAGAAAAAATGGCTTCTGTGTTTTATGGTGTTATGATCCCCATGTTAAACCCTCTCATCTATAGCCTGAGAAACCAAGACATGAGAGAAGCCCTGAAAGGGGTTGGAAAGAGGTGTATCTAGTTTGAGCATCAGTTACTAAGTCAACACAGTTCACCAAGCAAACCAACAGTTCTCTTATTTCCCAAAAGCAGAAGGGATGACAAATATCTGTGGGTTACAAAGGCAATCCTTAATTATATCAATAGATCTGAAATGTAATGAAAACATCTTAAATGGGTAAGTAAGTTTCTAATTCATGTGTTTCTTAAGGAGAAAGCATATGAAAAGGTCTTTGATATTGCTTTTGTACATTTTGAGGGGCCCTTTTTTTCAAATACCTGCCCTTAAAAGAGAAAAGAAAAATACAGAGAAGTGTATAAAAACTGTTGTAATGTACCCATAACAAGTATAACATGAATGCTTACCAGGACAAAAACCTCTTCTGATTTCCCTTAACAGGTGCTGTTACTCTTACTGTGACTCTGTAGCTACATCATTTTAATTTTATAAAGAATAAGTCAAAGAGCCAGTTTTTGGAGCAAATATGCAGAAAGAGGGAAAAAACACTAGAGTGAATTGCTACATAGACATTATGGAGCAATAGCCTTCCTTACTATACGTGGTCTGTAACCAACTAGGAAATTGACATAGGAATTAGGCAAATATGGATCATAGCAACTTACTTTGGTAAAATTTTATTTTACACAAAAGTTGAATCTCCAGCCTTAACCTCTTGCAGACTTAATGCAGGGTTTGGTGCTACAGAACAGAGTCATTTACCCAGAATTGGCATCTTATTTCCCTCAGTCTTCAAGGATGTGGAGAGATGGAGGAATCCAGGTGAATCCTGAGAAGTCATACTTAGGCTTGGGCATGAGTGTTCCATCCACTTAGGAAAAGACAGAATCAAGCACACACCCATCCTATTGCCAGGTGTCTTAACAAAAATATATCAGGTGTTATATTTCTCTCAATCTCTTTAATCAAGTAAACCATAGTATGTTGTTACTGAGAGGATTGACCAGGTGAGAGTTTACTGACTTTTTCAACATTTCCAGAAGTTCCAAATTGTGGATGGAATTATGAGCACAGGACCACTGTGAAATGGATCCAATCATAAAATGAATAATATCAAAAGAAACCAGATGGTACCAGCCCATGCAGCAGAGTACACTTTTCTGCACTCTGGAAGAGACTCCCAACATTTGGAAGCTCTGATCCCACTCTAGGTTGCCTGGGGCCTGCCCAAATCTTCCTTGCAGAGAGAAACTGTAATTTCACTTGGGATGTAAGCAGATCCTCTTCAGAGAAGGAAGGAAAGGTCTTTATCTTCACTACCCAAAACCATCTCTGGAGACAGAGACTACTCTTTTTCCATTCTGATGTGTCTCCTTTTACAAACATCCTTAAATATATTGGCTGTAAATGCATTGTACAGAGGAATTGGACTGTGCAGACATATTCTTGGAAAATCTGTAAATTAAATAATATTGCCTAAATATTTATAAAGTAAAAAGTGGGAAATACACTGATGAAAGAAACATGTTACTGTAATAGTAAATGTTAATTTACCTCTTGCAGTTCATGGTAGATCAAGTTGAGAATAAAATTTTAACAAAATTACAGAAGAGTTATTTGACATAATTAATGAGAGTAAATACCATATACAGAAACTCTATATTGGTGAAGCCTACCAATGAAACTCACTTGGAGTCAAAATTTAGACTTATTATGCTTCTGCAACTCACTCCCCAGAAGCTGTAGATATATCAGTAAGAGGAAGGGGAGAGGGCTTTTTACAGCATAGGGGCTTTGATGATGTTTCTGAGTATGGATTAGGGAAGTGGATACTCTCTCTAGATTTGGAAACTGTCAAAAACCCGGAGAAGAACAGCAACTGGGTATCTCAGTAAGCATTGCTCAAGAGGCAGAAGGAGGAAAGTAGTAACAGTTATATCACTGGTGAGACGGTAGCAGTCACTTAGAAGCGGGAGTTGTTAGTCATCTTATAGTTGCCTTGTGGATTTGGGAGGTCCAGTTAGACATACAGCTTCTGGTCAGCTTTCTGTGACTACTGGCACAGTTAGACACGTCACTGTCTGATTACTGGCAGAACTGATTTTCATCTTCATAGTAGCTTGAAACCAGCAAAACATCTTTCTTTGTTCCTTCTACACTTTCTTTTTCTCTTCTTTTCCTTCCTTCCTCCTTCTACCCCTTCATTCCTTTTTTCCTTTCTTCTTTCCTTTTTATGTACCCATAGAAGAATTACAGCAATATGGTAAACTCTAAAAATCAGAAATATATGGAAAATATTCTGTGATCCAATGACCTAGAACTAGAATTTACCAGTAAAATTTGAAGGTAAAAACAACTAAAATTCTACCACTTTAAACTGAAACTCTCATTTAAACAACCTTTTGGTTGAAGATGAAATAAAACCAAAGTTAGCAAATACATATAATATAATATTTTATCAACTATCATGTAAAATTCTATAAACTACAAGGGTGTTCAAATAAAATTTTATAACTCCATAAGTAATTGTGTTAATAAATAGGAAATGATAATAAATTAAATAAGTATACATTTCAAGGCATAAGAAAATAAGATTAAGGAAAGAAGAAAAGCAATAGTTATTTTAATTGATGTTAGAAACCACATAAATGTTAGAAATAATAAATCTAAGGATTCATTCTCTGAAGTTAAATGGATAAATATATGCTAATTTATAAAAAAAATAATACTGGGGAACAAAGAAAATCTTTAAAAATAAGAGAAGAATACTTAGCTCAGCAATATCTAATTATATTAGAGAGCCTGATGGAAAGGATGTCTTTTCACTAAGAGAATACTGATTGCAAAAAAGATATTACAGAAGAGATTAAAGAACAGTTGACATAGAAAGAATAAGTAATTAAAGGGCAGCCTTCTCCCTAGAAAAGCACCAAGCCCCTTTAGAAGAGCAGAAAAACCTAGAATGGTCAAAAATTGTTTAAATGAAGACCACAGCTGGAGGGCCTATGCTGCCTCTTTTCAAGCCTAACTTAAAGATAGTAGATAAACGAGTCTTGGACATGAGAAAGACACATTGACCAATGAAACAAATATAGAGTTAAAAAAATATATATGCTAAGCTGATTTTCAAAGAAAGTACTAACCAACTCCATGATGAAATTACTGTCTTTTCAAAAACAATAGTCTTGAAAATAACTCTATTGTCTTCCTACCATATCTGCAGTTTCTGAATTAGTCAATTCAACCAACCATGGATCAAAAATGTTATTGCACCCATATTGTGGCTCCCTGGAAGACCACACCATCATTATTTGACCTAACTCAAAACTCTCATGCAATGCAAAGAGATTTTTTTTCCAAGCAAACTTGTTTAATATATATATATATATATAGTTATGCTTTAACATTGCAGCTGCCTAAAGATAGAGATAAGTGTTGAGCCAAACAATAGGCAAACCAGAAGCTTAAAAATAAAAGCTGGAGAATGAAACTTTCACAGGGATATTGAAAACTTCCAATATATTCCTAAGAACTACAAGACTATGACCATCTGTAGTTCTGTGAGCTTGTGCTGGGCTGTGTTCATGTTCATGAAAAGACCTAAGAAGATCTTAAATGCTCAGTCTGGCTAATCCTGAGGCTGACACTCAAGTAGTAAGTAAAGGCAAATGTGGCATTATAAACTACCTTTACTGAGGATTAAATGCATAATCCAATGTATACTCAGAGCTCACTGGCAAAGACTGGGAGATAAATGGGTTCCAGGAATTTAAATAAATCTCCTTCCAAAATCACTAGGTGACCACTAAACTAACTAAGCAGAGACACTTAAATGATCACACATGAAAAGGAATACAATCTTTATGTGATTCATTCAGACAAATCACTAAACATAAGCATCAACAATATACAACAAAAATAAATACTGGGGAGAAAGATAATCTGATTTCCAGAGAGTCTACATTGTATCATTATAAAATATTTATTTTTCAAAGGAAAATAGTGAGAAATGAGAAGAATGAAGAAAATATGACTCTCACAGAGGGCAAAATTGCCAATAAGTAGAAACTGTCACTAAGAAAGCTCATATTTCAGATTTACTAGACAGAGATTTTAAATCAACTATTTTAAATATGTTCAAAGAACTAAAAAAAACACTTAAAAAGAACTAAAGGGAAATATGAGAATAATGTTTCGTAACAAAGAGAATATCATTAAAATATATAAAATTTTTAAATAACTATTCTGGAGTTAACAAGTAAATATACTACTGAAAGTAGAGAGAACTGATTGATCATATAAGAGGATTCTCAATAAGATTACTAGCTAATTTCTCTTCAGAAAGCATGCAGGCACATGGATGGAATTTCAGAATATGATACTGAATAAATACGCCAGACAGAAAAGACAAATATAGTATGTTCTCACTTATATGTGGATCTGAAACAAAAACAAAACATAAGACAACCAAAAATACACCAAGCTCTTAGGTACAGAGAATAGAACAGATTGGTGGTTGCCAGAGGCAGGGGGTGGAGGGTGAATGAAATGGGTGAAGGGGGACAAAAAGTACAAACTTGCAGTTATAAAATAAATAAAGGGAATATAGTGTATAGCACCACAACTGTAGTTAATACTGTATTACATAGTCAAAAGTTGTTACAAGAGTAAATCTTAAAAGTACTCATCACAAGAAAAAAATCTGTAACTATGTATGGTGATGGATGTTAACTAGATTTATTATGGTGATCATTTTGCCTTATAAAAAAAAATCATTGTGTTGTACACCTGAAACTAATATAAAGTTATATGTCACTTATAATTAATTAAAACCATCAACAGGATATTTTGGCTAACACAAATAATATGATTGTGTTAAGATAATAACAGTAACTTTATATATATTCAATGCAATTATAATGAAAATTCTAGTTAAAATACCTTGGAATTTAAGATTGAGCTTTCCAGATGTAGGTAAAAGTATCTATTAGAAATATTATCTTTTTTCAGGGCTAAAGATATGAATAGTTCAGACTTGGTTAGAAATACACATGTTACATATT